TAGACTAGACTATAGACTAGACTATAGACTAGACTATAGACTAGACTATAGACTAGACTATAGACTAGACTATAGACTAGACTATAGACTAGACTATAGACTAGACTATAGACTAGACTATAGACTAGACTATAGACTAGACTATAGACTAGACTATAGACTAGACTATAGACTAGACTATAGACTAGACTATAGACTAGACTATAGACTAGACTATAGACTAGACTATAGACTAGACTATAGACTAGACTATAGACTAGACTATAGACTAGACTATAGACTAGACTATAGACTAGACTATAGACTAGACTATAGACTAGACTATAGACTAGACTATAGACTAGACTATAGACTAGACTATAGACTAGACTATAGACTAGACTATAGACTTTTTTTAATCTACTACAGACCAGACTGTTGACTAGACTATAGACTAGACTATAGACTAGACTATAGACTAGACTATAGACTAGACTATAGACTAGACTATAGACTAGACTATAGACTAGACTATAGACTAGACTATAGACTAGACTATAGACTAGACTATAGACTAGACTATAGACTAGACTATAGACTAGACTATAGACTAGACTATAGACTAGACTATAGACAAGACTATAGACTAGACTAGACTAGACTATAGACTAGACTATAGACTAGACTATAGACTAGACTATAGACTAGACTATAGACAAGACTATAGACTAGACTATAGACTAGACTATAGACTAGACTATAGACTAGACTATAGACTAGACTATAGACTAGACTATAGACTAGACTATAGACTAGACTATAGACTAGACTATAGACTAGACTAGACTATAGACTAGACTATAGACTAGACTAGACTATAGACTAGACTAGACTAGACTATAGACTAGACTAGACTAGACTATAGACTAGACTAGACTATAGACTAGACTAGACTATAGACTAGACTAGACTATAGACTAGACTATAGACTAGACTATAGACTAGACTATAGACTAGACTATTGACTAGACTATAGACTAGACTATAGACTAGACTATAGACTAGTACTTTTTTTTAATCTACTACAGACCAGACTGTTGACTAGACTATAAACTAGAGACTGTAGACTAGACTATAGTCCAAACTAAAGACTAGGCTATAGTCCAGACTATAAACTTTAATTTTTATCTCTGTATTTCGAAATTAAGCATTATAGATTCTATTTACATTTAAAGAATTTTTAATGACTACAATCAAATAAATTAAACTTAATCCTTAGTAATATTAAATTTTTATTTTCTGCAAAACTTTTGAACTAAATAAAATCCAAACCTAATTTTAATTGCAATTAGCAATTATAAAACTAAATTTAAATGCAAGTGCAATCATAATGTTGACATAGTTCTCTTATCATTAAGCCAATAAACTTCAAATAATCTTTAATGAAGAAAATGTTAATAATGTTAAAGATGATTTACTCATACAATTATATATAGAAATATACATATAATTTGAATTGATGCTAATTTTAAGACATTATAAGTACAAATACATTGGCAAACTTGCAAAAAAATCCATATAGAAAAAAGCTTCATTTTAAATTGGAACAACTAGTACAAAAAAAAGTTTTGAAACATTGTCAGAGTATTTATGTTGGATTACTTATGTTAGAGTGTATTATCTGGAAAATACTTACAACTAAATAAATAGAACATGTTTTACAATGTTGCAAATTTACAATTTATATATTAAGGCTGATGATGTCGATGTTTATGATAATGACGATGTTTTTGTTATTAGCGGCAAAATTTGTAACAATAAGTACATAAATAAAACAAAGACAGAAAATGCTTGGTTTTTAAGAGGCTGCAAGGAGAGAAGTTATGATGAACAAGTGTCTAAGAATATTGTTATAGAATTTGAAACAAAAGATTGTCTAACAACTTTAACTCCAAATTTTTACAGAAAATTTAACGTTTATGCGTTTTATTCGCCATGTTCAGGTTGTACCCTGTATTTAGTTCTAGGAGTGTATGTGCATTAAATTTGTGTGTAATTCATAAACAAAGTTTTTATGAATAAAAAATTACAGCATAATACAGTTTTTTTTCCTCCAAATAAGGGTTTCAATTTCCGAACTTCTTTCTCAGTTTCCGGAAAAGAAAAAAATCTTCTATACTCCAGACTATTGACTAGACTATTGTCCACACTATAGACTAGGCTATTGTCCAGACTATAGAAGAGACTATAGTCCAGACTATAGACGATACTACAGTCCAGACCATAGACTAAACTTTAGTCCAGACTATAGACTAGACAATAGTCTAGACTAGGCTATAGTCCAGACTATAGACTAGAATATAGTCCAGACTATAGACTGTAGTCCAAACTTAAGTCTAGACTATAGTCCAGACTATAGAGTAGACTAAAGTCTAGAATAAAGACTAGGCTATAGAAAAGACTAGACAATAGCCCAGACTATTGAAAAGTCGTTAGTCCAGACTATAGTCAAGAATATAGACCAGACTATAGTATATACTATAGACCAGATTATAGTCCAGACTATAGACCAGATTATAGTCCAGACTGTAGACCATACTATAGTCCAGACTATAGACCAAACTATAGACCAACTATAGTTCAGACTATAAACCAGACTATAGTCCGGACTATAGTTTATACTATAGACCAGACTATTAACCAAACTATAGACCAGACTATAGTCCAGACTATAGTGCAGACTATTGACCAGACTATAGTCCAGACTATAGTCCAGACTATAGACCGGACTATAGTCCAGACTATAGACCGGACTATAGTCCAGACTATAGACTAGAATATAGTCCAGACTATAGACTGTAGTCCAAACTTAAGTCTAGACTATAGTCCAGACTATAGAGTAGACTAAAGTCTAGAATAGAGACTAGGCTATAGAAAAGACTAGACAATAGCCCAGACTATTGAAAAGTCGTTAGTCCAGACTATAGTCAAGAATATAGACCAAACTATAGTATATACTATAGACCAGATTATAGTCCAGACTATAGACCAGATTATAGTCCAGACTATAGACCATATTATAGTCCAGATTATAGACCAAACTATAGACCAACTATAGTTCAGACTATAGTCCGGACTATAGTTTATACTATAGACCAGACTATTAACCAAACTATAGACCAGACTATAGTCCAGACTATAGTGCAGACTATTGACCAGACTATAGTCCAGACTATAGACCGGACTGTAGTCCAGACTATAGACCAGACTACAGTCTAGATTATAGACCAGACTATAGTCCAGACTATAGACCATACTATAGTCGAGACTATAATCTAGACTATAGACCAGACTATAATCCAAACTATAGAACAGACTATAGTCCAAACTATAGTCCAGACTATAGTGCAGACTATTGACCAGACTATAGTCCAGACTATAGACTAGAATATAGTCCAGACTATAGACTGTAGTCCAAACTCAAGTCTAGACTATAGTCCAGACTATAGAGTAGACTAAAGTCTAGAATAAAGACTAGGCTATAGAAAAGACTAGACAATAGCCCAGACTATAGAAAAGTCGTTAGTCCAGACTATAGACCAGATTATAGTCTAGACTATAGACCATACTATAGTCCAGACTATAGACCAAACTATAGACCAACTATAGTTCAGACTATAGACCAGACTATAGTCCGGACTATTGTTTATACCATAGACCAGACTATTAACCAAACTATAGACCAGACTATAGTCCAGACTATAGTGCAGACTATGGACCAGACTATAGTCCAGACTATAGACCGGACAATAGTCCAGACTATAGACCTGACTATAGTCTAGATTATAGACCAGACTATAGTCCAGACTATAGACCATACTATAGTCGAGACTATAATCTAGACTATAGACCAGACTATAATCCAAACTATAGACCAGACTATAGTCCAAACGATAGACCAGACTATAGTCCAGACTATAGTCCAGACTATAGTCCAGACTATAGTCCAGACTATAGACCAGAATATAGTGCAGACTATAGACCATACTATAGTCCAGACTATAGACCAGACTATAGTCCAAACTATAGACCAGACTATAGACCGGACTATAGTCCAGACTATAGACTGGACTATTGTCCATACTATAGACCAGACTATAGTCTAGACTATAGACCAGACTATAGTCCAGACTATAGACCAGACTATAGTCCAGACTATAGACCAGACTATAGTCTAGACTATTGTCCAGACTTTAAACCAGACTACAGTCCATACTATAAACAAGACTATAGTCCAGTTTGTATTCCAAACTATAGTCCAGACTATAGATCAGACTGTAGTCCATACTATGGACCAGGCAATACTCCAGACTATGGACAAGGCTATTGTCCAGACTATAGACCAGGTTATAGTGCAGACTATAGTCCAGAATATAGTACCTATTACGGTCCAGACAATTGTCCTGACTACCGTCCCGACTTCAGTCCTGACTACATTCCAGATTACATTCCCAACTAGAGTCCAGACTATAGTCCAGACAATAGTCCAGACTATAGACCAGATTATAGTCCAAACTATAGTCCAGAATGTAGTACCGAGTACAGTCCAGATTACAGTTCCTACTACAGTTCATAATACAGTCCCGACTATATTTGTATGTACAAACATTGTCTGTAAAGATTTAACTAAAATTTTGTTATAAAAAGAAATTTCAATAAAATCCCCTGTAATTTAAAAATTTCCCGACATTAAAACTCTACTCCAAACAAAATTTTTTTGTTCACTATTCCTGCTACTTTGCTGTTAGAAAATAATATTAGAAAAAAATGTTTTAAAAATAAAATGCTTTCAAAGCTAAAATTGTTGTTGCATAAAAAGAGATTTTTTATCCTTTTTTTGTGTAGTTGCTCACTCAAATGGCTCGTAAAGAGTTTTAATTTCTCTGCCAGAAAAATAGTTCAACAATCTTTATTCATAATATTTTTTTTAAAATTTCCTTTCTCTTCCTCTTTTTTTCCAGCTAATTTTGTCTACCACTTTTGGCCTTTAAAGTAAAAGTTTAAATTAAATTTCTAAACAAAATTTACTGCTTTAAAATGGATACGAATTCAGTGAGTCCTTTGCCCGATGCTCCCTTGGCCATGATGGAAAATGAGAAGACACCACCGGGTACACCCTCGGCCAATGATATGCCACCACCTCCCGATGAAAAGTAAGTACAGAAATGCATTTGCAGTTAGTCTACATAATCATTTTTTTTGCGTTTAAACATTTATTCAATTTCCTTTTTGATTTGATTCCCTGTAGTCGTTTAACCCAAATGTACTTTTTAGATTTTTTCCGTCCACTTTTTTTTTGCGTCAAATCATCATTATTTTTTTAATATTATAAAAATAAATTGTTAAATCGCTTTAAAAAAAAAAACGAGTGAAAAAAACCTGCGGTAGTTGTGGCATCTACTTAGTGTTGTTTTTTGAGTCTGCGGTTTAAAAGATACGAATTTATACGATTTATTTGCTTTAGGTTTTGTTTTATTAAAATGTTGATGTTGATAAAAATTTGCACCTAAATTGCAGTAAAAACATCTTATCAAAATGATTGTGTGTTTGTTTTCTTTTTTGCTCATTCCACTAAGTGGAGACGATATACAAGTTCATTTAAATATTAATTTATAAGATGATTTAAGAAAATAAAACAGAAACTGTTTAAATTGCTTAAGTAAATTTTTAATAAAAAAGTAACAAATAACAATAACAAACAAGTGCAGAACAGTGACTGAAGTGCTACTTAAGGTTGATGCCAACTTACCACGATTTGAGGTAATAATTCGAGAGATTTTTAAATTTAAACTCCCGAGAATAGTTATAAACTAGTCTGTATAATAGTCTAGTCTATAGTCTAGTCTCTATTCTAGTCTATAGTCTAGTCTAGTCTCTAGTCTAGTCTCTAGCCTAGTCTCTAGTCTAGTCTAGTCTCTAGCCTAGTCTCCAGTCTAGTCTCTAGTCTAGTATCTAGTCTAGTCTCTATTCTAGTCTATAGTCTAGTCTCTAGTCTAGTCTCTAGTATAGTCTCTAGTCTAGCCTCTAGTCTAGTCTCTAGTCTAGTCTATAGTCTAGTCTCTAGTCTAGTCTAGTCTCCAGTCTAGTCTATAGTCTAGTCTCTATTCTAGTCTATAGTCTAGTCTAGTCTCTAGTATAGTCTCTAGTCTAGTCTCTAGCCTAGTCTCTAGTCTAGTCTCTAGTCTAGTCTCTAGTCTAGTCTCTAGTCTAGTCTCTAGTCTAGTCTCTAGTCTAGTCTCTAGTCGTCTCTAGTCTAGTCTCTAGTCTAGTCTCTAGTCTAGTCTCTAGTCTAGTCTCTAGTCTAGTCTCTAGTCTAGTCTCTAGTCTAGTCTCTAGTCTAGTCTCTAGTCTAGTCTCTAGTCTAGTCTCTAGTCTAGTCTCTAGTCTAGTCTCTAGTCTAGTCTCTAGTCTAGTCTCTAGTCTAGTCTAGTCTAGTCTCTAGTCTAGTCTCTAGTCTAGTCTGTAGTCTAGTCTATAGTCTAGTCTCTAGTCTAGTCTCTAGTCTAGTCTCTAGTCTAGTCTCTAGTCTAGTCTCTAGTCTAGTCTCTAGTCTAGTCTCTAGTCTAGTCTCTAGTCTAGTCTCTAGTCTAGTCTCTAGTCTAGTCTCTAGTCTAGTCTCTAGTCTAGTCTCTAGTCTAGTCTATAGTCTAGTCTATAGTCTAGTCTATAGTCTAGTCTATAGTCTAGTCTATAGTCTAGTCTATAGTCTAGTCTATAGTCTAGTCTATAGTCTAGTCTATAGTCTAGTCTATAGTCTAGTCTATAGTCTAGTCTATAGTCTAGTCTATAGTCTAGTCTATAGTCTAGTCTATAGTCTAGTCTATAGTCTAGTCTATAGTCTAGTCTATAGTCTAGTCTATAGTCTAGTCTATAGTCTAGTCTATAGTCTAGTCTATAGTCTAGTCTATAGTCTAGTCTATAGTCTAGTCTATAGTCTAGTCTATAGTCTAGTCTATAGTCTAGTCTATAGTCTAGTCTAGTCTAGTCTAGTCTAGTCTAGTCTAGTCTATAGTCTAGTCTATAGTCTAGTCTATAGTCTAGTCTATAGTCTAGCCTATAGTCTAGTCAATAGTCTAGTCTATAGTCTAGCCTATAGTCTAGTCAATAGTCTAGTCTATAGTCTAGTCTATAGTCTAGTCTATAGTCTAGCCTATAGTCTAGTCTATAGTCTAGTCTATAGTCTAGTCTATAGTCTAGTCTATAGTCTAGTCTATAGTCTAGTCTATAGTCTAGTCTATAGTCTAGTCTATAGTCTAGTCTATAGTCTAGTCTATAGTCTAGTCTATAGTCTAGTCTATAGTCTAGTCTATAGTCAGTCTATAGTCTAGTCTATAGTCTAGTCTATAGTCTAATCTATAGTCTAGTCTATAGTCTAATCTATAGTCTAGTCTATAGTCTAGTCTATAGTCTAGTCTATAGTCTAGTCTATAGTCTAGTCTATAGTCTAGTCTATAGTCTAGTCTAAAGTCTAGTCTATAGTCTAGTCTACAGTCTAGCCCATAGTCTAGTCCATAGTCTAGTCTATAGTCTAGTTTATAGTCTAGTCTATAGTCTAGCCCATAGTCTAGTCCATAGTCTAGTCTATAGTCTAGTCTATAGTCTAGCCCATAGTCTAGTCCATGGTCTAGTCTATAGTCTAGTTTATAGTCTAGTCTATAGTCTAGTCTATAGTCTAGTCTATAGTCTAGTCTATAGTCTAGTCTATAGTCTAGTCTATAGTCTAGTCTATAGTCTAGTCTATAGTCTAGTCTATAGTCTAGTCTATAGTCTAGTCTATAGTCTAGTCTATAGTCTAGTCTATAGTCTAGTCTATAGTCTAGTCTATAGTCTAGTCTATAGTCTAGTCTATAGTCTAGTCTATAGTCTAGTCTATTTTCTAGTCTATAGTCTAGTCTATAGTCTAGTCTATAGTCTAGTCTATAGTCTGGTCTATAGTCTAGTCTATAGTCTAGTCTATAGTCTAGTCTATAGTCTAGTCTCTAGTCTAGTCTATAGTCTAATCTATAGTCTATAGTCTAGTCTATAGTCTAGTCTCTAGTCTAGTCTATAGTCTAGTCTATAGTTTAGTCTATAGTTTAGTCTATAGTCTAGTCTATAGTTTAGTCTATAGTCTAGTCTATAGTCTAGTCTATAGTCTAGTTTATAGTCGAGTCCATAGTCTAGTCTATAGTCTACTGTATTGTCTAGTCTATAGTCTAGTCTAGTCTATAGTCTAGTTTATAGTCGAGTCCATAGTCTATATTCTAGTGTATATTCTAGTCTATAGTCTATTCTATAGCCTAGTCTAGTCTATAGTCTATTGTAAGGTCTATAGTCTATTATAAATGTTTAATTATAAATTTTAAAAGGATTTTAATTAATTCAAACATGATTGCTTTACTCAGTGTAAAAAGCAAACCCTTTAGATCAAAAAGAAAATTAAATTATTTTAATTAACTTAACAAATTTAACATGCAGACACACAACAAGACCAATAACTAAAAATTAAACAAACTACACACTGTCCCTGTTCAATTAGTAGTTTTAATAACTTTTATATTGGTTTGAACTACATATTGATTAGGTCACAAACCATACAACTCATACAATTCGCTTCTATACATGTAATTTCCTTTCCCTTCAGTATAAAACGAAAAACTATAAAGTGTATAAACAAGTAGAAAATTACACCAAACTTGGTGTCCTCTTCCTATGACCACTAACTTAAAAACTCCTCAACGAAGAAAACCTTAAATATAATAAAAATTGATTTCAAATAATTCTTTGTGTTTATTTAATGGGTTACACACACACCTGCTTGATTTGCCTTCTTCATGTCTTTGATTCTTAAAATCAAACAAAAGGACGAGCAACAGAAAATGAAAACAAATTTCCCAACCTCCTGTTGGTATTAAGGCCGACTCATTACTTTGGCACGCGATAAACTGTTGAATCCGGTCGGTAACTTGTGGAGGAAACCATTAAGGGAAGTGTTTGCAAGAAGAAAAAATAACGTATTGAATACAATGTTGTTATAAAAATAAGTAACTTAAATACACATCATGTTTAAATAATCACAAGAAAATATTACAATTTATACCTTTACACACACTCGTTCACTTACGCTCTACCTACCTCTCCCTCCCGCACCATATTTATGTTGACAAACTTACACAAGAAACATGCTATAAAACGGATTCAAACCGGAAATGATATTTCAATATTTGCGGTTGCATGTGTATGTGTGTGTATTACCGCTTGATGAGCTGTATAAAAGGTGAAAGGTTTAAGAAAATCTGATTAGCACAATTTATGGCGGGAAATTCAAACTTTCACACATGTGGTGTACTAGAAAATTAATTTGAAAATATGTAGTGATTGAATTTGAAAGTTTTTTTCGATTTAAGAATATATTAAACTATTTAATAAAATCATTAGTTCAGTTCTAGTTCAGTTCTAGTTCAGTTCTTAGTTCAGTTCTAGTCAGTTCTAGTTCAGTTCTAGTTCAGTTCTAGTTCAGTTCTAGTTCAGTTCTAGTTCAGTTCTAGTTCAGTTCTAGTTCAGTTCTAGTTCAGTTCTAGTTCAGTTCTAGTTCAGTTCTAGTTCAGTTCTAGTTCAGTTCTAGTTCAGTTCTAGTTCAGTTCTAGTTCAGTTCTAGTTCAGTTCTAGTTCAGTTCTAGTTCAGTTCTAGTTCAGTTCTAGTTCAGTTCTAGGTTCAGTTCTAGTTCAGTTCTAGTTCAGTTCTAGTTCAGTTCTAGTTCAGTTCTAGTTCAGTTCTAGTTCAGTTCTAGTTCAGTTCTAGTTCAGTTCTAGTTCAGTTCTAGTTCAGTTCTAGTTCAGTTCTAGTTCAGTTCTAGTTCAGTTCTAGTTCAGTTCTAGTTCAGTTCTAGTTCAGTTCTAGTTCAGTTCTAGTTCAGTTCTAGTTCAGTTCTAGTTCAGTTCTAGTTCAGTTCTAGTTCAGTTCTAGTTCAGTTCTAGTTCAGTTCTAGTTCAGTTCTAGTTCAGTTCTAGTTCAGTTCTAGTTCAGTTCTAGTTCAGTTCTAGTTCAGTTCTAGTTCAGTTCTAGTTCAGTTCTAGTTCAGTTCTAGTTCAGTTCTAGTTCAGTTCTAGTTCAGTTCTAGTTCAGTTCTAGTTCAGTTCTAGTTCAGTTCTAGTTCAGTTCTAGTTCAGTTCT